TCAAAGCGATTAATTAGTTTCGCGTTTCAGAAATTTAAACATAGTCATTTAACAATCAATTATTTATAGTTTGAATGTCATTGAATGAATATATAATTCTGTGTGCTTTTCGGATGGATGTAATTAGCAACAGTGATATAACCATGGACTGTATATAGATACACGGTCAATGGTAAAACCAAAAAACGTTTAAACTGATCCGCCATTAAGAGACTCGAACTTGCGCAGACCGCATGTCTTTTTAATCGCAAAATTCTATTTGAATTAAGTGTTGAATTTTTATAAATTTGTGTCAGCGGTGGCGAGAAACGATCCCTTTTGGTGAAAAAAGAAGAATCACGGTGGAAAATAGAAGGTAAGGGTTCCAAAATAGCCTTAGAACAAAGGTGGGGGTAGAGTGGTATTTTCATATTGCTTAATAGGGACGAATAGGAACGGTAAGCGGACAGCGTCGATCAGACAGCGTTCCTAAAGAAACTACAATAGGCGTACACAGGAGGACCAGGCTAATGCTAATGAAAAGAGCTATTCATTAAGCAATGTGTTATAAGACAAATTTTGTCCGGAATGTGAAAGCTACGCTGTCTTGTCAACAATTAGCCCTGTTTGAGAACAAATAATTAGCTCTGTTTGAGAACAGACACGAAGCTTGTTGGCCGACATTTTAATCCCAAAGTTTGTCGAAGACATTAAGTATACTTTTTTTTTGCTTCCTTTTAATGAAACTGGAAAAGTTTATTTAGTCTATGTTAGAAAGATGTAAAACAGACGAGAACCACATATTTAATTTATAATTTTAATATGGCGGCCATTTAATGCAGAGGTCTATTCTCAAAGTAGATAATCCTCTGTCTGCAGGCTGTTAATTTGGACATCTTACCTACATTTCTGTGTTCTAATCGTATTAGATAATACTTGTCGGTCGTTATTTGGCTACCATTTAGATAATGAGTTTATTGGCATTCTGTCATGTTGGCTGTTTAACAGACTGTCGGTAAACACCGCGTCATTGTATCTATACAATTCATTTAAATTCTTGTATTTATTTATTGAGTAAAAACTGTTTTATAAACTTGATTCTTTTTATATTCCTCTTTTCCGTTAAAAAAGACACGAATTCTTTCATTTTTTCTGTATCGTATTCCTTTTATATCTAATCATGGAGGATTAGTTTATTTTCGATGGCGATTTGAATATTTTTTAAAGATGCATTATGTGAGAGCTGAATCTATCTGTTGCAGATCTTTTTTCTAGCTTCAAATGTTATGTAAATTTGTATTTAGATATTTATTCACGTGACAATCAAACAATCCCCCCCCCCAAGACCAAGTGATGGCTAGGATATCGAATGGATTAGACAACGTAAATATGGACGCCACCCCACAGAGACTGAAGATTGAAGGACCGAAAATTATCATGACAATGATACTTGACAACCGAGACAATATATGCTATTTTTGAAGAAACGTCAAACTTCCATAACTTCGCCCAGAACAAAGTGTTTGTCCCAAATTTTCAATATATTCATGTTTCATTACCCAATTTTAAACAATTATAACGAGAACAGCCAGCTGTTTATCAAAATCATACATAATGCATTTTTAAATAAGACATCTTTTTTTGAATAATGTAAATATATGAAGGCTGTCTTTTTTTCTTTTAAGATATTATTTTATTTTTACTTTAGTTTAAAATTACCCCATGTTTGACGCACTATATATCCTCTTTTTTTCGAAACAAAAATTTCTTCATAATTTTTAAGTCTTAAAGGAGGTAAGTCTCTAATATTTGGGACCTAGAAATTGACACAAATGGGTCGCAACGCATACAATAATGTAATATGAATGTATATAAATTGGTTTACATTCAATCGTTTCTGTTTTCACTGTAATTTCTAATCAGTTAGGTTCGGCGACATACGCCAGTATTCTCAATCGAATTTCAATCTCTAGCTTCTGGTTATTCCAGTCTACGCCGATAGTATTTATTGGGCATGCTCTCCAGATAAGAATATAGCGTCACCGTTTGACATGACTTATTTAATATGCCTAGTCTCGTTTTTCGAGTCCCTTATTATACATAGCGCTGAAACGATTCGTGTACCAATTGTAAAATGTTTATTTTGTCTTAAATATTGGATATCAGAAGGCCATCTTTTCCCGGTAAGATCACAACACCAATGTTGATTTAAACCGACAAATAAATCTTGTTTTCAATGTCGAAGATTTTGGATGATATTGATATTGACTTAGCTACTTTAAGATACAACCCTTGACCTAGAGTCTTATTCATTTTAAAGCCCAGAGAGAGAGAGAGAGAGAGCTTAACATCCACTCGACACAAACTAACTAATACATGGTTCAATTGCGGGTAGGGGTAATTAGCAGTGGGAGGAAACCGGAGGACCCAGAGAAAACCAACCAGGTTGGACAGGCAACCCTAAAGTGATTAGGAGAGAGATGGGTATAGGCTAACACGCCATCAACACAAATATAGTTGATGAATATAGTTTTCTACCGAGGAATGTGACTTCTGAAATCCAAGTTTCAATTATCTACCCGTTTAGCCGGTGCATTAGGTAAGATATCTCTTCTGGTATCAGTCTGTTCTTCGCCTAATTCCAACTGACAAGGGTTCTTTTAAGTGCATGCTAACATGTAGACGGAACTTAGGTTTTTCGTCCCAACCGTGAAAGGGAATCCAGGTTCGACCCCTAAATAGAGAGAGATAGAGTAATGGGCTTTAACGTCCACTCGACACAAACCAGGTCATTTCGGGACTAACACATGGTTCAATGTTATTCCAATAATTCGCTGGCGCGTAGGGGTCTTCAGCAGTGGGAGGAAACCGGAGGACCCAGAGAAAACCCACGAAGTTGGACAGGCGACCCTACTCCTTGTCACATACAACCGGGGAATCGACACCACGCCATTTGACTCAATGACAGACCGTTTGATACAACGCGCACGTGCTAACCATTCGGCCATCCAACACCCCCTCGAACCCTAAACAAATCTTTGAGACACAATGCAAATGCCCCACTGATTTCACTGGAAATGCTGGGCGAGACACAAGAAAATCAACAAAAAACCACAACTTTACTTTACAGTAGGAACATAATATTGTGTTAACATCAAAGCCAGTAACGTGTATGTCCACCACGCCACGGAACGTCACCACACGGAGGACAATAGCCTCTAAATTCGTTGCTTTATTAACCCCGTGTGCAGAACGGAGAACCTGGCACGGACAGCTGTCTAGTCGTTCGGATGGGGCGAAAAACCGCGGTCCCTTGTATACATTGGCGTGCATGTAAAAGATCCCTTGACAGTAAAAATTCGATATAAGAGTAGGCCGTAGCTCCGCTGTTCGGACAAAATTGCCCTCATAGCACACTGTATGGCGTATTCCCGTCTTCATTAGCCCAGTCGGAGAAGAACAGTAGGACGTTAAACTCTATTTCATTTCATTTCATTTATTGACCCGGTTGGTGCAGAAACGTAGGACGTTAATCCCCATTTCATTGCATTTCCATCTACCACGTATACTAAATTATTTGCGGATCAGCGCTCGCTGTACTTTATTTTTTGGAAACACTACTAAGAAGTACTAACTTATAAAAACTGAATTAAGAGAAAATGTGTGAGTGCAAAATATAACACAAGCTCTATCTTGGCATCAGAATAAAAATCGATTCTCAAAGATAATATAATTTCTTTTTTTTCCCGTTAAAGCGAATTTGCGAACTTAAACTTATAAGGAAGTAGATTCCATTTGTTATTGGCTGTATTTTTTCTTTTATTCCAGGACAAGCGTTAAGTCCAGTCGGTAAATTTGCTGAGTAGCTGAATATCTAGCCATATGTGAGTTGGCAAGATGTCGTTATCGTCTTTATTGACATTTCAAAACTAAGAGTACAATGACAAAAATTTGTCTGAGCTTGAATATTGTACCCATAATAGCTGAAAAGAATGTCACCAATATTTGAAAAATTGTCATAGCAGTGGTGTCCTGATCAGAATTTCTACAAAAGTTGTTTTTTTTGTGGTGGTGGTGCTCGAGTCGTCTTCACTTTAATTTAGCTGTGAGCCAAACTGCGCATTTGAAATGTTCTGGCGTTGAAAGTCAGATTTCTGAGTTTCGATCGCCAGTTATAGGCGGAAAGATTGGGAATATTTTCAGGGTTAGACAACTTTTTGTTTACATGAAATAGGGATTTTTAGCATTGTTGTAAATTGATTTATCGAATAGACCAAATGTATTCTGTTACTTTGATTTAAAATATAAAATTCTTATTGCAATTCTTTTCTTTATTTCCCTTCCTGTCTAGCTATCTGTTTAAGTTCGCATTTTATTCAATCATTTAAAATGTTCATTAGTACGGAGTTCTAACTTTTCGTTTCGTATTTTATTAAATATTGTTTTAAATTTTCATTCATACATAGTTCTTCAATTTTCCATTTGATTAAATCTCGTTAAACATTAATTAATCCACATTTATAACTTTTAGTTTCGTATTTTATATTTAATGTTTTAAATTTGTATTCTTGGATATTCTTTAATCATATGTTTGTATCATTTATGGGAGTCGCGGTGGATCAGTGAATATGGTGCTTCGGGATTTTTAAAGTCCGGATTCGCCTCATACCAGGGGTGCACGGCGCAGGGTCTGGCATTAAGGCGTTTGGATAGGGTGGGGGAGAACCCTGTAAAAGAACCCATGGCAATTGGAATTCGATGAAGTGTAAGCCGAAACGCCACGGTCTGGGGAACGTCATGACCGTCGTCATTAGCTCGGTTATTGGTGCTAAAGGAGGCTAAAGTCCATTTCAGTCATCATTTCCCGTCATTTCTAAGCACTGGGTTAAAATTAAGAGCGTGAACTTTATAAAGGTACGACCAAATCCGAACATGTGGGGCAGAGGTATTGGTTATTATAATCCATTTAAATCAGTTTTATTCCAAAATGGAAAGGGTTCAGAGAGAATTTAAACACGTACCTGAATTTCTACTGTTAGCTATTTCTTCTTGAAGAGTCGTTAGTTCTTCTATTGATATACTAGTTGATGGTGGTTCCGTCACAGTAGGTACCGTAATCGTAGTATCTGATCTTAAATTTATTTCCGTATTCCGTTCAACGATCTGTGGAGATGTTATGTCTCGGGTTGCCGCAAGGGTGGTTGTAATGGCTGTTGTCGTAGATGTTGTCGTACTCGGGGTCGTTAATATTCTGGTCGTTGGCCTCCATGTGGTTCTTGGTAACCAGGTAACTTTACGTCTTGTTGTTGTCGGTGTTGTTCTCGGTGGCGTTGTCGTTTTTGTAGGCCTTTTCGTTGTTGACGGAGGTCGCGGTGTACTAGGCTTACGGGTGACAATTTTAGGCTTTTTGGTGGTTTTACTTAGTGTCGGATTCCGAGTATAAGGCGATTCGTTTAAACGTTGCCATTCAATAGGAATCTTTATCGTTGCCCTGGTAGGCTTTTCAGTGACGACCGGTTTTGTTTGTCTTGGAATCCAGATAACAGGGCGTTTGGTAATAATATTCCAAAATGGTTTCCTAGTAGTTGCTCTGAAGGGTTTCTTGGTTAACTGCTTCCAGAAATTTGGATCCCATGTGAAGCGGGCACGTGCTTTTGAGGTCGTTATTTCCGTCGTTGGTCGATTTGTGGTTTTTGTTGTTGGTCGAGGCGTTGTTGGTCGAGGCGTTGTTGGCCTTGGCGTCGTTCGGACCGTCGTGGGCCTGCGAGTAGTTGTTGACCTTGTTGACGTGAGTCGATCGGTCGTTCTTGAAGATGTAGTGGGACGTTTTGTTGTCGCTTTGGTCGTCGTGCGTTTCGGCCTTGGTGTTGTCGGTCGAGCAGTGGACGGTGACCGCCACGAAAAAGGATTTTTGGACACTGTTTTCAGCGATTTCTTTGACGTGGTAGTTTTTTCGTGTATTGTCCTCCATGTAAATTTAGGCTGCGGGGTTTTCCGCTCAATCACGACGACTGGTTTCACATGTTTAAACATTTTTGTTGTGCGCGAAGTTACAGCCGGGGTCGTGGAAAATGTGGATGAAGTTTGTGTAGATGTAGAAAAAGGAACAAAGGGCGTATATGGCTGGACTGTTGTTCCGGTTTTCCACGTCACCCAATATCTCGTGGTTTTTTCCCACGGTTCGGGTTTAATCTCCAGTTCGTTCGATGTATCAAAATCTTTCTGTTTTAAATCGTCCCTTGGTAGCGGGGAAGTCGTTTTAGTATTCGCGTAGTTGCAGTCGTCAAAAGCGGTGTTCTGCCAGACGCAGACTTTATATTTCAAAGACCATATGGTGTGAGGCGTGGAGCAAGTCATTCGCCAATAACGGTTTCCATAACACGTATAAAATATACTACAATCCAGGGGATCTCGAACATAAGTTTGACGTTTTACCGGGAATCGACAAGGCATCCGTAGTGGATGTTTATACAAAGACACTTCCTCCATGGCAAAAATCTGATTGTTAAATTCTATTAATACGGTCCATAAAAATATAAAGTTAAATGCCGAAGCAAATCGACAAAGAATGGTTATGACCATATTGAAAAATTGTCAAGTGTTGTCCACTAGGTAAATTGTTACCAAACTGATACAGTATTATTCTAACCAATGTAACACGGGTTCCGACTCCGATCAAATTAATACTGAAATTGTTATCATCACAGAAAAATCCGAATTAAAATATCCACAAGAATAATTTATTTCTATGAATCCATTTATTTAAACTCCGAAGATACAGTTTAAATTAATATCCTAACGGACTATTCCAGAGGACTTATTTAAAACTCCACAAAATATCATTTAAAATACAATCCTAACTGGTGTTGAAGTTGTTATCCTTGATGCAAGTAGTGGTGTTGACTAGGAACAGCTTCTAACAGAGGAACAGTGGATGTTAGTTAATTATACCGATGCTGATGACACGGAACATCTTCATCCTCTCACCACTGCTAGAAACAATATTACTGATTTCGCTTCTCCTCTACTGGACTTTTCTACCCTTAATCTCAGTAAACAATTCGTAATCCCTTTGGTATTCTTCAGAAACAAACAACTTTCTTGGCTTTAACAACTACCCCGATCAAAGGCTAGCCCTGGTAATGTCAACAACAACAGTCTGTCAATCATCCCCATCCATCAATCTGATTGGTTCAGGTAAGTATACGCATTATCGTTTTAGAACGCACCCCCCTTTTTTTTTTATCGATCTCCATTGCTTTTCAGTTTTTCCCTTTTTACAATTTTTTATGTTTAAATATTGTCAGGGTATCAGATTTTGAAATTGTCTTTCGTCTTTTGAATAAACGAAACGATCGACTTCAGCTCCGTTATAGCACAACATGTGTGCAAGGTTAGGGCGCAGCGTGCTGAACATTGTTTTAATCGCAGTATGTAATGTGTACAACGTATCTGCATGTAACATAAACGTGTAGAAACAGTTACAACAGCATGTCGTGTTTCGATTTTTATGGATTTTCTTCATAAACAGAAGGAATTTCTTTTAATTCTTACATATTTTTTTTTTTTTTAAAAATCAAAAAAATCGTCAAAATGAAAAGATATGTGTCGGGAATACCATTTATCCGAACTCTTTATAGTAATTACCAGTCTTAAATTATACTTATGATCAAAGATGACTAATATTGTGTCCTTGTTAACCAGTGTTTGTTTATACCAATGATCAAAGATGACTAATAATGTGTCTTTGTTAACCAGTCTTTGTTTATACCAATGATCAAAGATGACTAATAATGTGTTCTTGTTAACCAGTCTTTGTTTATAAGAATGATTAAATATACCTAACAGTAACAATTTGTCATTATTTACCAGTCTTTGTTTATACCTACGGTCAAATATACCTAACAATGTGTCGCTATTAACCATTCTTTGATTATACCAATGATCAAATATACCTAATAATGTGTCCTGGTTAAAGATACATTCTTCAAGGGTTAAATTACATGACACGACCATAATCAACTCTTGGTGCCATCGGATGTTCGAGATATTAACTAGATTAGAACGGTTCGGTCATTTAATGATTTAATTTAAAAATGGAGGAGCGAGTCTAAGTCTCGAATATACCAGTACCGTGGTTACGACAATAAACCATCAATGCACACATCTATAGTCAAAACTATAAACAGTGATAACTTGGCTCAGAATAAAGTAATTTAAATGAAAATTTTAATACATTCATTTTGCATTATCTATTTTTGAACTATTATAGCGCGAACGGTCTGCTCTTTATCTGAATGTTTCATAATGCATCTTTAAAAAGTCTTATGGAGTTTAAGACCATGCACAACCAAGCGTATATAGGCTACTTTTGGACCGAAAATAATTTAAATCTATTTAATCTAAATTTAGTTATGGTCATTTAAAATTTACATTGGTTTGTATTCACTTATTAAATAAGCCACAGTTTTGTACAAACCATTCCATTTTTCATGAAGTTATTTTTGACCTTGGATGTCATTTTAAGTACAATTACATTATATCATCAATCTTTACATTAAAATAGCAATTACATATTGTCTCACTTTGGGATATATGTGAAACCTGTGACTTGTTATGAAATGAAATAGGATTTAACGTCCTACTGTTCTGTACCGACCGGGCTAATGAAGACGGACATACGCCATACAGTGTGCTATGATGGAAATTCTGCCCGAACAGCGGCACTACGGCCAACTTTTATATTGAATTCCAACTGTCAATGGGGTCTTTTACGTGCATGCCAATGTGCACACGGGTCCTCGATTTGTCGTCCTATCCGAGACTGAACAAGAAAGACAAAAAGCCTACTGTTGGCGTACAAATTACCATACTGGCTAACTCGTCTAAGGTCGCCCATTTCTGGTATCGCTACAAACTAGTGAATAATATTTAGCCTTTGTTATATCAGCACAGAGAATATGGTCAAATCCACCAAATTTTCTATCTCGACTAATAATGCTAGTTGTGATATTCTTCGGAAATAGAGACTCGATAAATATGGCGCTTGCTCGCTACGGCCCGCGCTCTATCACGTTGTTTGCCGAGACATTTTCTCGGGGAAAAGCACCAAGTCGAAACGGACAGGACGTAAAATCAAGGTCCAAGCATGTATTCGCTGTCAGGGCAAATACCCCCCCCACACACACACACACAACACACTGCAAGGCGTATGCTCATCTTCGTTATCCTGGTCTATGAGTAAATCCGAACAACATTGACATTTCTTACCCTCAGATTCGAAGCAGAGGTCTTAACATAAATTCCCAACAGGAGCACAGGACGTAGTACATGTTTTTGTTTTTTTTTCTTTTTAGATTTTTTAAAAATAAGTTTATTATTACGAGATTCCACTGTGTATGTAAATCACCCATGCTATATATGCTGTATATCCATCTACTATCCTTGGATTTGTTGTAAAGATGGAGCCGCGGTTGCTCTGTAAGTAAGACGCTAGTTCGTTATCCTCGAGGTCTCGGATTGGCCCCTACTGTTGGCCGAAAAATTTCCTTGGGATTTTCCGGCGTGGTTAACCCATGTTGACAGTTGTCTAGTCGTTCGGATAGGAGGAAAAACCGAGGCCCGTGTATATATTGACGTGCACGTAAAAGAACCCTTGACAGTTGGAATTCGATATAAGAGTATATTGGTGATATTGACTTACACAATTAGGTAAGTTGAGAGAGGTTTTATAGTTTGTGTAGAAACAAGTGGGAACTTCTGAAAGTAAGGGGCTATACAGAGCATAGCTTCGGTTCTTTTGACATTCTCAAACTGTTCATGATTGTTGTTCTCTTCGGGTTTAATTTTAAAATTTAATGCTTTGTTTAATTGTCGCTCGCCAGATATTCGCATTATTTTGGTATGCGCAAGTAGGAAATAAGCGGTAGGCCACATGTCACGATTAGGATTCTTTTGCCATTCTCAAATTTATCAACTCTGTCGGGTTTCAACACCACTACCCCCCCCCCCCCCGCCCCGTATTTCCTCCTGAAATTGCTATGCCATTTGCTAAATTTTTTAAAATAATGTTCGCACCATTTTGGTCTAGCAGTACAGGGGTATAGTGTTGAAAGTTTGTGTCGCCAACATAACAACTTGAACCATCTTGGAGTTCTGACGTCATATCAATAATCAAAATTCCTGATTCAAAGAAACCTTGAGTGTTTACGTTTAAGATATATATTTAGTACTTTTTAATTAGTATCAATCAGCTGATTGTACTTTCTGCATATTTTTGTTCTTATCAACAAATGGTAAAAATGGTAAACAGGCTTTGGAGGGGCTTTTGTACAATACGGGGTGTCTTAATCCAGTAAAACAAGAATGACAAAACTTACGGTAGTCATTTATGATTTCCTATCACTGACAATGATGTCTGAATTACCGGCATTTCAGATCTAATGTGATAAAGCATTCAAATGGTGTTTTGTAGTGCTGTTGCATTTTTAGAATCCTGTGACATATGAAGAGCCCCGGGGAAGAGGGATCTAAGTCACCTTTTCAACGAACCCCAGTTAATGGCGTCATCTGGTAGCAAATTGTATAAGCTTTCTGTGGAACAATCTGTTTCAGGTGTCACATCGAACCAAGGCCCTTCTGAAATGGCCTCCCGGACAAACACAAGTCCATCGTACCCTTTATTTGACCTTAATTTGGCTGAAAAGTGGAAGCCAGTTGTTGTACTGGTAATTATGATTTGTATTAAACATCATGTTGAAGTTGTAATTAACCGACTCGTTGTTCTGTTCGCGTCAAGACTTCTCGCCCAATAGTCTGTTTTGCCTTTTATGCGAAAAGACAAAAATGTGACTTAGATCGTTCTTCACCTGGGCCCTTCATATGTAATTTAACGTACTGGTATTACATTTCTGCACCTACTAGTCTAATGATGAACGACAAAGGCCTACGTAATGACAATGCTATTAGAGTATCTTTGGCCCGGACAGCGGCCCACGGGCATACTTTTATTTCAATTATATTATTTTTTATTATTATTTAATACATTTATATAGCGCATCTTTCACCGAAGTGTTCAGATGCGCCTAACAATAACAAATGAAATGAAATGAAATGGGGTTTAACGTCCTACTGTTCTGCTCCTATGCGCTGGGCTAATGAAGACGGGCATACGCCATACAGTGTGCTATGAGGGAAATTTTGCCCGGGCAGCGGCACTATCGCCTACTCTTATATCGAATTCCATAACAATAACAAAGTAAAATACAATTTATAATAATAATAAAAAAAAAGAAGTTCCTAAAAATTCTATTTATAATAATAATAAAAAAAATAAAAAAAAAGTAAGAAGAGAGAGACAATGTAAAAATGATATAAATATTACCAAAACGAAAACAAACAAAAAACACACCACCAATCATTTGGATGTCCGCTCAATCCTTGTGGATGGGGGCTGAATGGTTTGACTCGTGCGCTTTGGATTATTGGTTTGTCATTGAGTCAATTGGTGTGGTTTCGATTCTCCGCTCGTACGTGACAAGGAGTAGTTTCGCCTGGGTTTTCACCGGGTCCTCCGGTATCCTCTTACTGTTAAAGTTCTCTACGAGCAAACGAATTAATGAAATTGAATTGAATCATATAATAGTCACGAAATGACCTAGTTTGTGTCGAGTGGACGTTAAACCCCTTTATATCCCGTTTCCCTCCCACTGCTAAAGACCCACACTAAGCGAATTATTGAAATAAAATTGAAATGAAATGAAATGGGGTTTAACGTCCTACTGTTTTGCTCCGAACTGGGCTAATGAAGACGGGCATACGCCATACAGTGTGCTATGAGGGTAATTTTGCCCGGACAGCGGCACTACGGCCTACTCTTATATCGAATTCCAACTGTCAAGGGATCTTTTACGTGCACGCCAATGTGTACACGGGACCTCGGTTTTTCGTCTCATCCGAATGACTAGACAGCTGTCCTTGTCAGGCCCTCCGTCCTGCATCACTGACAAGGGGGAACCACGCCGGAAAA